TTGTGGCAAACACGATATCTGTGAGAAATCAGAAAGCCAAGAGTGTGATGAAGACACTAATGTGACACCCCAATTTGTGAGCTTTACCACACAACTGACCACATTTTCTTCTTACAGTCACAACCACATCATTCAGAATTTTTCACACCTATCTCTTTCTTTTTTTATTTTTCTCTATACTTGCTCGACTCTTTTATAAGTTACTTTTAACATATTTTAAAGTTTAATTTTTTATTGGAAGAGAGGCTCATCATATTTAGTACTTGATCTTATTTCAAACAAGATTAATTCTCTATCTTCTAACATAACAGTTTTTTTATAAAAAAAATTTAAACCATCAACTTTATTTAAGGAATGTACATGGAGTCCCTCTTATACACCAACCACCCACTCACTCTTTTAAATAAACGGCTCAAATAAATCAAAACGCATCCATATGACATTGATGCTTCTGTTTCTCCCAATTTTGAGCTTTTTTTTTTTTTGGGTCTCTCCAGCTTTCACCTTTCAAACAATATCAGTTGTGGTCCCCACTGATACATACATCCACAACGTCATTATGCAATATGTCACGTGCATTTTTCAATTTTTTCTTTTCAAAAAATTCAAGTGAGTTTAGTCTCAGAATTCATGAGGGTCCTAGTATATCTCCAATCAGCTCAAAAAGTGTCTACAAACGTATTTATAAATTGCCCACTAATAATGTTCTTACATCAGCAGCTGATTTGATTTCATGATCTTGTGAGTTATAAGCAAAATCTTTACCAATTGGGTCAATATTTGTTGGTCATATATAAAGTTTAAACCGTATATCTTTCACTAAATCCAGTAACCATTATGCCCTTAGCTAGGATGTAATTTTATTGATTAAAATTGACACGAGAGAGATTATATTATATGCATATAATTATTTTACTTTTTTTTAAAAAAAGTCAAATTTGATTAAAACCATGAAAAGATACAACAAAAAAACTTGGACCTAGCTAAATTATAGTGCAAGATTAGAAATATAGAGGCCCAAGCAGATACAAACAGACAAAAAAAAACTAATAATAAGATGCCTCAACTAAAAAACCTTATTAATTATAATCTTAATTAAGGATATTTTTGAAAAAAGTCACATAATTATACCTTAAAAGATTTAAAATACTTTATATTTTTGAATAAAGGGAGTAGTTCATAAACTATGCATCTTCTTATAAATTAATCATAATACTTGCTCGAGGCTAGAAAGATAATTTGCTATAATGGGAGGACACTGCCAAGGGGTACCTCATCAAAAGGATTCTTAATTAGATGATTAATAGGTTAATTATACTAATTATATATTCTTTATGCATCGTGACACGAATTAAGCTAGAGAGGTGAGGCTGTTAGTACTGTTTCAAATTAAAGCATCATTGACAAGCCATGGGAGATTGGTAATTAATTAAGGTGACGTTTTTAATTTTTTTAACAATGGGTTTACATTTTTAACTAATGCATTTGAATTTAAATTTTAAATTTAAAAACTCAATTTTTAAATTCATATATTTAAAATTATTTATTTAGATGGTGAAAAAAATTGTGAAGGAATTAGAAAATAGATGATTTGAGATTTGAAGTGAAAATAGAAATTAAAATGATAAACTTACCTCTTTTTTTAATAGGAAAAAAAGAACAAGGGATAAAAAGAAAAAAGAGTTGAAAGCCAAAGAGACATTAGACCTCATTAGTGAAAATATGAAGAGAATAACATAGTTGGAATAATTGAAATTTCAAATAATTGAGATATATAAAAAATTTAAAATTATAAAAGAATTACAATATAAGAGAGGACTTGAATTTGGATCAAATCCTAATTTGTATATTTTTATATATAATTCAAATGAGATATTTTACTTAAATTCAAATTCAAATTAATCCAAATACAATGTATGCTAAAAACATTATATTAGTATATTAGAGGCTTAGAGTGAACATACATTTGAATCCTAATAATATAAATCTTTAGGGCCATAGCTAGCCTCGTTAGTTTTGACCTAGCCAACCCTTTATTTCCCAAGCAACCTTTAAAGTTAAAACCTTATCACCAGACCTCTCTCTATATATAGTGTTATGTATAGCCAATAATTAATTAGGGGCGTTCAAAGTATAGGAAGCTGTCTTTCACAAACTTGCTAAAAAATATATCTACAATGTAAGAGAGGTCCAGAGGAATCTGTTAATTTCTGGAAACAATAACAAATATGAACAAAGTTTAATTCATGTACCGGAAGAGTAAAAATAGTAAATGATGGGAAGTCATGTATGTTTTATACATTGTACCAACAGTCCTCTGGCTAGATGCTTTGTGCTACATTCTTAAAGTTTTTGTGGACTTTAGCAGAATTAGTGCCCTCATTTTCTCTTTATTTATTATATATTATTTTTTAATTGCTCATTTGTATTCTTTTATTGAAGGCAATTTTGTTTAAGACACATTTAGACACTAAATGTGGGCATCTCTTTTAGTGGGGATTTGAATTTTAGCTTGCTATATTATGAAATATTACCCCCTTCCACTAAAACCAACCTCTATTAGTTATTTATTATATACATTATTATTATATGATGTTGATTAATTATCATAATAAGTTTTTAGCATAAATTAAAGTTTGTTAATGATATTCCATCCCTTCACTACTGTCAAATGAAATGCATGCTGTATTTAAGTCCCCAACACATTTCTTTTTATAAAAAAAAAAAAGTTTTGGTGAATTAGAATTCAAGACTCACCAAAGCAATCATATGGCACCAAGATTAAAGAGCGTTTATATGAATGTACTTACAAATCGTGCATCAATAAAATCTTCACATTAATAATGAGATTTGATTTCAAAATCTTATAAGTATGAGCTAAGTCATTACAAATTTGGACCATATGATTCGTCAAGTACCCATCACGGCATCAACCAATCTTTCACGGCATCACCAATCTAAGTGCACTCTTAAGTGTGTGATTCGTCCATAATTTTCGTTCATGAAATGGAATATAACAAAACCTTTCAGCTTTCCAGTTAATTACTTTCATGATATTCACACAAAAAGATTAATATAAAATAGCAGTTGAAGAATTATTTGAGAGAATCTAAACCCATAGCTAGCTAGCCAACTTTGGAACAAAAAAGAAATTCACAAACAAATACTTCCCCCATTAAAAAATATAAGGTATTTTTAACTATTTATTTTTATTTAATAGGATGTTTTACTCTAAATAAATATAAGTGATTTATTCAATAATAGAGACACTTAAAAAAAGAGTAATGATTTATCTCAATATAGGACACTTTGAATGGAGGGAGTATTAATCCAATTGTAAGAATTTGACTTATGTCCTATGAAAGTGTTAATTTATGTACATATACAGGCTTGTTTGTATAAAATTAAACATAAATGATTTTAAAATATTTTAGAGATTTTATAAAAAGATATTTATTTTATAAATTTTTTATAAAAACATATATTATTTTATTTTTAATTTAAATTATAAAAATTTATTATTATTTAATTATTTTTAATTTTTATGATATTTTTGCTTTTTTATTGCATTCTTTCTCATCCATCGTAGCAGATTATTTTCAAAAAATCTTCAAAGTAGCATATCCTAGAATTGGAACTCAATGTTCTAAATTAAGTTAATTCAATTTTCTCCATTTATTAGATAATTTGTATGTCCTTTTACAATCACGATTAATTTTTACTATGTTTATTTAATGGACCTTGACTTCACGGCCATGTTGTCATGGGCTTATAACTTAGCCCGACTAGAAAGTGCGGAAAACACCCAAAAAAAAAAAAACAAAAAAAACGTTCATTTTGCAATAAACAATGTGTTAAAACAAAATGAACACAAATGTGGTGTGGAGAATGAGAACATGAGTTCAGATTTTTTTTTTTAACTCGGTATAATTTGAATTGGAAAACAAGTTTAGTTGAAATATTAATTTTCCCGAAGCTGTAATTTTAGTTATTTTATAATCAGGAAAGTGATTTGAAACTTTTAATTATAACTAATTAAAGAAATATTGATCATTTACTTTATTTTCTAAAGAAGTTTAGCTCCTTTCTCGTCTAGATCATTTTTTGTGTCCTAATTTAGTGAGACCAATGTTATCACTCTAATTACATCAAAATTTTAATTAAAAAAAAAATCGAACTTTCCACCACTAAACATGACTTGGGCATTGCTTCGTCCAATAACTTATATTTTAATTAAATGATTAAAAATAAAATTACTTTAATTATCAATAAATAAGGATTATCAATTTAAATAGAGATAACAAGACTCAAATTAACTGAGATAAATAGACCATGCCTAACGCTTACGTTGTCAGATTTTAAAATTCGACACATATAGGCCATATTAATGTTATAAGATCCGGGCTTTCAATTTGTTTAGGGTTTCTCAGCCTTCACCTCCAAAAATTTATATTTGTTGCTCTTTTTCAAGTACACAAATATGTCTTCTTGCTTCTTTAAATTCAAATAGGAAAAATTAAAAATAAAAATCCATAATATCGATCGACAGTCTGAAACTCATCCATCATTCTAACTACACACACACACACACACACACACACACACACAAGACGATGATATTTCATTAGTATTTTTCTCTTGTGTTGAATAGCAACGCGGATATAGTTAAGTGACCAAAATCATATAATAAAAGATGCCGACATGAGAATATTATTGAGAATGATTGAAACATGCAGAATGAAAGGTATTATTATTTAACTTCTAATATATTCCTCTGAGAGGAGGGTTAGCATAAATTCTATGAAAGGTACACACTACTTTAATAATTTCCATTACGATCGAGTGTCTGCCAAGCTAAGAATATCACAATTCTGGATACTACACGCTTCCTTTACGAGAAACTAGGCATAATATTTTCATACGCAAACTTCAAAATATAATTTTAAAAAAATATCTACCTATCTATCCATCTATATAGACACACACACACCCGCTTGCGATCAGATAATCAATCTGGTTTCATAACTAAATCTACTTGCTGTCAGTGTAAAAGAGAGATCAAGAGAGAGAATGGAACATGTGATAAAAGAAAAGGTAGTGAACATGTTGAATGCTTGCGAAGGTCGTATACACGAAGAGATGGGCAAGCTTGGAGCAGATATGAGTTCAAAGTATGGGATATCTCCGAGCACTGCAATATCACTGATCCTAGGCTGCGTTTGCCTGTACATGTTGGGGAAGCGTCTCTGGGAGCCGAAGCCGAAGCCGACGCCCTTTTTTCAAAGGTCCCAGTCATTGGCAAACATATATGGGGGTGATTTTGCATTGAGGAGACTTGAAGACTATAACATAGCTAAGGCCATACCCTACGCTGTTGAACGCAGTGATCTTGTTTTGAAGGGTCTGCTTGAGGAAGAACATCTTGACTTGAAGAAGCTCCAGGTTTGTTCCAATATTACTTTATTAATTAATTATTAATTAGTTGATAATGGTACTGATTAATTAATTGATGTGATGAAATTGTGAATGGAAGAGTGTGACGGCAAGGCTGGAGATGGCAGGAAAGGAAGACGAAGGAGTGAGGTTACTGAAAGAAGCAAAAGAAAAGAATATTCAATTGGAAAAATCTCATCACGCTTACGAGATTGACATGTTGCTTGTCGAATTGCTCATCTACTTGGTAATTAAATATATTCCATAAATTTCCAAGCACGAATATTTTCAATTTCATTTTTTTAATTTCTCAATTGACTCATCATGCATATGACGAGAACTTGTTTTGCAGGGAAACTATGAGGAAGCCCAGAAATGTGAATGCCTAAAACATCAAAAAATGATGACATTTGATGCTCGACGTCCACTCTTCAAGGTACTTCTTCAATTCCATTATCTTCAAAAATTGTTTATATATATATATATATATATATTACGAGATTTTGCATTTATCGTTTATCAAACTCGGCCCCATATAACAAGGTTGTACGCTCACATGTAAACAAATGTGATCACTTGATGTAATCTGAGATAAAAAATTTTTGATAAAAATATTAAGTGTTAATGACATATATGTTTGATTCAATTAAAGGGTAAATCATGAATTATAAAAAAATTGTACGTCTTAATTTGGTTTAAGAAAAAGTGTCTTAAGCATATATAATTTTAATGAAGTAGCTAAAATAAAATAAAAGACTTGAATTTTTAATTTGAGATAATTTTACATAACTCTTTTTTTTTTAACTTTTCAGCATAAATATGTTATATATAGTTTCATGGTTTGGTGGATTACATAAAAGAATGCATAAATGTTTTTATAACTTAAATTGTTCCACTAATAACTTTGTAGCCTAGTGACATGTACATTTTTTCTGCAAGTGGAAGGTTGTGGGTTTAATCTTTCTCAAGGTTTTAATGCCTACCCTTCTAATTCAAGAAAAACTTAAATTGTTTCTCTTTTTGTCCTTATAATTAGATGCAACAAGTAAAATTAAGAATAAAACAGACAATAATTTCTTGAAATTAGCTCACTCCTTTTTTAGATATTAACATTATTTTTCTCACTCTTTTCTTTTCTTTTTTCATTTTAATTCTCAATTCTCATGTACTCTCGGTTTTTTAGATGCATGCATGCATGCGTCCTATTTTGACAAAATCATTCATGCAGTCAAAGAGAGGTGGTGATATGATAAAAACATGGGCTTAATTATAAGAGTGTGCACATGACTGTGTTCATTACATTGATTTTTATTCATCTCCCACCATTATAATATTAATTATGATATTATTAAGACAAAAATTAAAAAATTATTGTGATGTTATGTGCTTTCAATTGAATAACACATTTTTACTGAGATGTAAAATTTGATTTAAAATTAAACACTTTATAAATAAGGGGGGAGTATAGAATAAAAATTTTAATCGATCAAACTTTTTTTTTTTTTACATTAATGAAACAATTTGATTTGTTTCTTAGACTCCGCATGTAAATAAAATTTTTATTTATTTATTTATTTGAATTTATGTTGGGTTTTGTGATTTGAAAAATTGGCAGGCAATTATATATGGAATGCGGAATAATTGGGAAAAGGCTGCCAATTTTTGGACAAAATTCGTTGATCTGAGGCAAGCCATTATGACGTGGTGGGGCTTGACCAACTTGTGCCTGGAATTGAAGATTTCGCTGAATTCAAAGAGAAAGTCGAACATCTTCAAAATGAAATTAAGAAAAAGGAAAAAACTTCAGGAATCAAACATACTGTATTTAAAAAGGGTTAGGGCAAACACACACGTACCATTTGGAACAACATATATATGTAAATACGTACCATATATCCATTTCAATAATTTTAATGTATTTATCTTTATTTATTCAGGATAATAAAATTTTCAGTCCTTCAAATTTATCTCAAGTATTAATTTAGTTTCTAAAATTTAATCTTTCTCAATCAATTCTTTAAAATTCTTAAATCATACACAACTAGTCCTTTTAATTTGAAGGAGATCACGTTATAAGGACTCTAATTATGTATGGTTATGAAATTTTGGGAACTTGATTGATAAATATTAAATTTCATATATCAAATTGATGACTGGTGTAAATATATATGACCGATCTATTTTATATTCAGTATCCTTTTTGACAATTCGTTTTCCATTTAGTAATTTACCGGTTGAAATATTTATAATATTCTATTTAATTTCATCGAACTTTGTAAAATCATTGTTAATATGAAATTTAAAAAGCTTACACTAACCAATTGTTAATTTTGAATCAATAAATCACTATATATATTATTCAATATCCATACAAGCACATGGAAGAGAACTAGATCAGTTGGCTCCGTCACTCATGCGTTGCATGGAACTAATAATTATATCGTTGTAATTAAGGAAACTAACAGTAAATTTAAAAAAAAAGCCATATATTCAACAATCACGTACGAAAACTAGATTTTTCTACTTGAATGATCAGGACGGCCATTTTTTTTGAAATTGTAATATTTAAGTATTACATTTTTAAAATATCAGAAATAAAAATTATTTTTATTTTATACATTTTTATAAAATAATAAATTGCTTTTTGTAAAAATTACATATAAAAAAATAAACGGCTGAAATCTGTTGACGACTGTGTGTGTAAGCTAGCTAGCTTCCACCTCTTTTGAACAAACATGAGGAGCATTTCTTTCATTAAAAAAAAAAAAAAAACTAAATTGTTGGAAAAGACGGAATGAAGAGGTAGAAAACTAGGGGGGGGGGGGGAACAGCAAGAGGCCATTAATCAAGAGAAATTATAAGTTAAGAGTGAATTGTGCACATTTTTATTCATTTTTCATGTGGGAGTTTATATAGAATAAGCATATCACATGTCTTAATAAATACCAAAATCAATGTATATAATAAATACAATAAATGCTACATGTCAATGTGATCACATTAATTAAAAATACTACACTCAACTTACCATATGTATGAATCACAAGGTTAAAAAAGAGTGATTTTTGAAGATAGTAATGACTAAATGATTACGCCTAAATTGTCCAACACCTAAATCAAAAAATGTTCAAACACAGACCATTAATATTATATATATATATATATAATATTCCAACTTTTGTGTTGGGTTCTCATATTCCACCTTCACATTTTTATATGGGAAAATCGTATATGAAATATATTATTTTCAAATAAGAGCATTAATAATGAGCCATCATTCAGGGAAAGAACAAGTTCCTATTTTCAACTTTTGCGTTAACAATCAATTCCTTAATATTGGTCCTTTGGTGAATAACATTGCGATTTTCTCTTTTTATATTTATTGTCAGGGGCAGAGCAAAGATTTAAGAATAAGGGGGGCTAATATTAAAAAATATATATACTATAAAGTTTTCATAAATTTTAGGGGGACTGAAAGTATGTAACACCTATATAATACAAAAAAAAAAAAATTGAGGGGGTCACGGCCCCTACTGGTTCCCCCTCCATCACTTTTTATTGTTTATCAAGTACTGTGTATTATTCTTTCAAAATGTGAATATATTTGTTACAACTATTGTCCTTATATAGAGCAATTACATGTGGGCTTCTATACTTGAATAGCTAGAACCTCAGCGGATACATAATACTATTAACATATATTTTGATATTCTCCCCACTCAAGAAAGAAAAAAAAAGTCTAGAACTGCAAAGGCTGAGTAAAACACGCAGGATTTGGAAGTACACGCATCTTATCATACAAATAGAAAAATAACACAACAAGAAGAGGCTTTGTGAGAGCATTATCGACTTGTTTAGTACTTGGGACATAGTTGACTTTAACTAAACCAGCTGCAACCTTCTCACGAATGAAATGAACATCAAGTTCTACATTTTTAGTTTTGGCATGCAAAATAGGGTTTGCCACAAGAGAGATGGCATTGGTGTTATCACACTAGATTGATGGCACACTAGAAACAGGAAAATGGAGTTCTCGTAACAGTGTAATAAGCCACATTACTTTAGTTACTAAGTCTGCGACACTCCTATATTCGACCTTTGTAGAAGATTGAGAAATGACTTGCTGTTTTCGTGATAACCAAAGAACAGGATTAGCACCAAGATAGATGCAAATACCACTTATAGAGCACCTATTCTCATAATCATTATCCTAATCAGCATCAGCAAATCCTTGAATAGCAAGAGTACCAGCAAATTTGATGAGGAGACTGTAGTGAATAGTGCCACTGAGATATTGAAGAATACGCTTAACACACTTCTAATGAATGACTCGAGGTTGATGCATGAATTGACTAAGACTGTTAATCGAGAACGCAATTTCAAGTCTGGTGTGACAGACATATTGCAATGCCCCCATCGTGCTACGATATTGAGTAGGGTCATCAAGAAAAGCAAAATCAATTGTGGTTGCAACTTCATTTGAAGAGTCATCATCAGCCAAATCAATTTCAAGAGGTTGAGAGGAGTCATCATTCTTGCAAAAATGCTAAACAAGTTGAACCTTAGTGGCCATTGGAGTAACACATGGCTTCACAGTAAGCATTTGAGTTTGAGTCAACAGATCAATGATGTGTTTTCATTGGCTTAAGTGAAAACCAGCCCCTGACTAAGTGAAGACAATACCTAGGAAATGAGATACCTTACCTAAATCCTTTAGAGAGAAGAGACAACTTATGTCTGTGATGAGAAGTTGAAGTTTAGTGGAGTCACTACCCGTAAGCAAAAGATCATCAACATATACAACCAGATAAGCAATAGATGCATCAATCTTACATGTAAAAACACATGCATCAACATGAGAAGCAACAAAGCCGAGAGAACAGAGAGCATCCTTAAGCTTGTGAAACCAAGCCCAAGGGGCTTGTTTCAAGCTATAGAGAGAATGAATAAGACAACAAACCAGCTTAATACCATGAGGGCCTGATTGTTCAAAACTTAGTGGCTGGTCTGTGAATACTTCTTCTTCAAGATCACCGTTAAGAAAAGCATTATTAAAGTCAAGTTGATGCACAGGCCAAGAATTTGTTACTGCAAGGGAAAGAAGAACACGTACAGTCAAACCCTTAACAACTGGACTAAACGTGTCATTGTAGTCAGCACTTGGTTCCTGAGAGTAGCCTTTAGCTACTAAACAAGCTTTGAATTTAGTAGGAGATTTGTGCTGAAACAACCATTTGCAACCTCAACGAATACATAATACTGTTAACATATATTCTGATACAGTAATCTAAAACTCATATTCTTTCATTCTAACTAGAAAAAAAAATGATCATGATTATTCCTTTGTTTTCTCATGCGAGAAGTAATAACGCGGATATTATGTAAACAAAATCTTAATAAAATTGCCGACAAAAGAATATAAGATTGAAGGTATCATCACTTAACTTCATATTTCTTTGAAAGGAGGGTTAGGATCAATTCTCTGAAAGATATACTTGCTTCCATTACGAGAGAGATAAAGTATTAATTCTTGACTCTGAATATTTGTTCTTCTTTACCTATCAGCAGAGCAAAGAATATATATCTCAGAATCATTCTACATTTCTATATCCATAGGATTTCCTTACGAGAAACTACAAATTAACAATCATTTTATCTTAATTAACTAAGTTACGTTCTTCTTCTTGTCGGTGTAAGAAACAGACCGATAGAGAGACAGAGAGAGAGAATGTTGGAGTTGATAAAAGAAAAGGTGGTGATCATGTTGAATGCATGTGAAGGTCGTGTATACAAAGAGATGGCCAAGTTTGGAGCAGATATGAGTTCAAAGTATGGGATATCTCCGAGCACTGCAATATCACTGATCCTGGGCTTCGTTTGCTTGTACATGTTGGGGAGGCGTCTCTGGGAGCCGAAGCCGAAGTCGAAGCCGAAGCCCAAGCCCGTTCTTGAAAGGTCCAAGTCATTGGCAAACATATATGGGGGTGATTTTGCACTGAGGAGACTTGAAGACCATAACATAGCCAAGGCCATACCCTACGTTTTCGAACGCAGTGATCTTGTTTTGAAGGGTCTGCTTGAGGAAGAACATCTTGACTTGAAGAAGCTCCAGGTTTGTCCCAATATTACTTTATTAATTAATTATTAATGAGTTGATAATGGTACTGAGGAATTAATTAATGTGATGAAATTGTGAATGGAAGAGCGTGATGGCAAGGCTGGAGATGGCAGGAAAGGAAGAAGAAGGAGTGAAGTTACTGAAAGAAGCAAAAGAAAAGAATATTCAATTGGAAAAATCTCATCACGTTTACGAGATTGACATGTTGCTTGTCGAAATGCTCATCTACTTGGTATGTCTATTATTTTGTTTCAATTTTATTTTATTTTTCCATAATATTTCTTTATTCACTGATCTCATCTGACTACTCTTGCTACAGGGAAAACATGATGAAGCCAAGAGTTGTGAATGCTTGAAACATCAAGAAATGATGCTACTTGATGCTCGACGTCCACTCTTTAAGGTACTTCACCCTCATTCTTTATGAAAAAATCGCCCTAAAGGACCTCTATAGCAATTTTTTTTTTGAAAGAAAAAACTTAATGATTCTAAGATTACACCACAAGATGAAAGGATTAATGCATACATACATATAAGTTTGAGTGTGAAACGACAAAAATACTTTGCTTTTTTTTTTCTTCCTAAAAAAAGGTCAAGTCAACTCAACACCAACCATCAATCAACTAATTTGGTAATTGGTAAAGGTTATCAAAGGAGGGTTTAAACCTATATATTACCCTTTGGCTGCATAAAATTTTCGCGGCCACTAAAACACTAATCCTATTTAAATATATTTGACAAAAATAAATATATATAGTAACCCAATCTTTTAAATCACTTTCATGTTATAATATAAGGATGACTTGTTATGATTGTTATTTTAGTAACTTTGCTTGTTAATATGATTGAGCTGCAAACTGAGGGGATTGAAAATTCATGTATTTTACCCATTATATTTCTAGCTATATCTAATTGAGTTAGGTTTGAGTATTGTTAGGCATAATTGGGGGTAGTTTTTCTAAAGTTTTTTTTTTTTTTGCATTCACACGGACAAAAACTCAGGACCTCATTCTTAAGCAATCACGCTCCATTTTACTATGGCAAATGCTTGTTGGTTACTTGAAATAGCCACCATTCTTTTGAAATTTTTTTAATGTATTTAATAACATTAATAATATTTAGAAAAATTTCTTAGAATGAAAACAGTGAAAAAAGTTATTTAATTTTGTGGGTTAATGTTGTGAATATTGGAAAACAATGGACAGGCAATTATATATGGAATGAGGGAAGATTGGATAACAGCTGAAAGTTTTTGGAGGAAATTCGAAGATATGAGGGAAGACATCATGAAAATGGTGGGGCAGGAAGGTCCTTGTCCTGAAATTAAAGGTTTCGAAAACTTCAAAGAGGAAATCCAGCATCTTCATAATCAAATTGATCATAAGTCTCAGCGCAGTGATCTTATTTTGAAGCGTCTGCTTCAGGATCAACATCCTGACTTGAACAAGCTCCTGGTTTGTCACCATTTATATTAGTTATTACTTCATTCAATATTTTTTCACTTTTTCACCAATGAAAGACCTTTAAAAGAATTTAACATCTGATAAGTATTTCTAACAAGTATTGTGAATATATTATTTTAACAAGTATCCAATCTATGTAGATTATATTAATTTTTCTGACAGTTAGTTGATAAGAAGATGATCTCAAAAACAATTAAAAAAAGGATCAATAAAATTTTCTTAGTCTTTTTTATGTAAATTTTTAAAGTCATTTTCTGATTAACTAATGGTTAAAGTTAACTTTTGTTAATTGTAAGGGTTAGATTGGACCATTTTCATAATTTGAAAAGTAATATTGTATCAAAAATAAGTTTGAGGCATTAGAAACTCTTGAATCTATAATTTAAGAGTCAATTTGCTCTTTTATTTAGTGGTGGTAGTGGTGATATATTTTGATGATTTGAAATTGTGATGTGTGAATGGAAGAGTGTGATAACAAGGCCGGACATGGCTGGATCAATGGGAGATGAAGGAGTGAAGTTACTAAGGGAGGCAGCCGAAAGGAGAAGAGCTGAGGCTCGCAAATCTTTTGACGTTAACGATATTGAAATGTTACTTGTCGAGTTGCTAATCTATCAGGTACGTACAAATATTTCGAATTCATATTTCATTTTTTTTATACTTAAATTTCTTTATTGCATTCTTTAATTAATTTATATCTCATCTGCTGTTGCAGGGAAAACCTGATGAAGCCTTGAAATGTCAATGCTTGAATCCAGAAAATGCACTTGACGCTCGACGTCCACTCTTCAAGGTATTATTATTAATTCAACTCTATATATATTTTTAGTACTGTCATAATTAACATACTTAAAAACATTTATTTATTTATTTATTCTGAGACTTATGTTAATTGGGTTTTGTGATTGGGAGAATTGATAGGCAGTGATATATGGAATGCGGAATGAGTGGGGAAAGGCGGAAAGATTTTGGAATGAATTCGTAAATGTGAAAGGAAAATCTATGGCAAACGTGGGACTGGACGGCCTTTTCCATGAAATTACTGATTTCCAAGTGTTCAAAGAAAAAGTCCAACATCTTCGGAATCAAATCACCAACAAAATTCCTTCAACATAATACTATGATGTCGCAGTATATGGTGAAGCAAATATTTGTTATTCTATATCATATCCATTTCAATGTTTTTCTATTTATTTATTGTAATAAAAATACATTACTCTGTTTTACATTCATTTTTTTATAGTTTGTTTTTTATTCAGTACTTTACTGGTGGGAATATTTATTATAATATTGTCATTGATTTCATCGCATTTTTTTTCCTGATTTTTAATATTAAATTAACTAGTTTGTTGACCTACTATATGTTAGTGTGAGACCAATTTTGTACAATTGTTAAATTTGAATCAATACATACATATACTAATACACAAATTTGAATCAATTTGATCTTGATTTTAAAATTTTGTATTTTACTGGCCGATCTAGATAAATGAAAAAATATAGTATTCTCCCCTTTTGAATGAATTATCTATAGCGATTTATATTTTTCATAAAAAGATTATCATCATGCACACAATTAAACAAGATTTTTTATATTTGAATCTGGATGGATCAAATACGTTTAAAAATATTTTAATATTTAATTAATATTTTTCCAACAAACTCAATGACAACAATTATTTTTTTATTTTGTAGAAAATTTTAAAATAAATTACATATACAAAATTTAAAGGAATTAATTTGCTGAAGGCTCAACGTAACTCTATCTTCTTGGTGATAGTGTATGCCCTTGTCGCTCCACCATCATGTTAAGTCATAATGTAAATGAATGACCGCACAAGTATTTGGATTAATCAGCTAAGGATGGATCCCTTTTAACTAGATATCCCTTTAAGCCATTCACAAACTGCCGAATCGATTATTCTCTCATAAACGTAGACATTAGATCAAGAGAGGCGTCTCTTGGCGTAGATTAACTATTTTCTTTTGGTCTATTTAATCATAGGTCTCCTCCAATTTTGGACCTTGACTTCAAGCCCATACTTAATATTCCCTTCGTTTTTATATATATAAAAAAAACTGTATCATATAGTTTAAAAAGGTTAGTTAATCATGATAATTATGTTTAAAAATAAAAAATTAGACTAAAATGTCCTATGTTAATCAATATAAAAATATATTAATTATTTCTTATTAATGTAAATTATGAGGAGTGATTTAAAAAATTTGTAATAAATACTTATTAAAATATGTGATTTTACTTACATAAAAAATAAGTAAAAAGTAATAATTTCTCTTACAAATAGAAATTGAGTAATAAGCCTAAGTATAGAAATAAACTATGATGATGAAAATGACATAATTAATTAGTTGGATCTCATTCAACAAGTATCTCAATTACTATCATTAAATTTTATTAATAATTAAAAATTAGCATGATACATCTCATTCAAAAAATTCAAAATAACTGTCATGATCATAACAGTTTTCATGCATGTTTTCCTTTAAAAAATTTGAGATTTGATGCTTTTCAAATATTATATAACAAGATTTGTAATAAACATTTGATTAAATTAAATGATTATTATTGTACCACGTGGGACAGAGTGAGTTAATTTGTGCGCATCAGGATTCAAAGCCATAGAACTATCACTATAGACTTTTCTTTTTTCTTTTGGCCGAACTATAGACTTTTCAATAATATCAATTGTTTTCCACTAATGAATGGCAACTTGTATATGATATATATGCATATGTATATGTCTATATGAGCTAATTTTTTTAATAAATATATAATAAGAATGAAGCCAGAAGTGTCAACTTCACTCCGCGTATTTTTTTTAAAAGTTATCTTTCTTTCCCTTCTTAGTTGGATAAAGGATCAATTCTTGACAATGAATATTTGTTACGTTCTTCTTTAATTTACTTATTGGACAAGCTAAGAATATCAGATTCATCTTGCCTACAAGCTTCCTTTACGAGAAACCATGCCTACTTTAATTTATCATAACAAGGTTCACCTACCTACTATAAATTAAGTGTACCCATAAACTTCAAAATGTGATAATAAAAAAAAAACATCTCCACGTCATTACTTCTTCTCCTTCTTCTCCTTCTTCTTCTTCATCTTGAGGTTGAGAGAGAATGGAACAGCACCAGATTACCGAGAAGCTTCTAAACATTGTGAATGCTTATGAAGGTCGTGTGCACGAAGAGATGGCCAAATTTGGAGAATATTTAAGTTCAAAGTATGGGATATCTCCGAGCACAGGAATATTACTATTATCAGTATTCATTGGGTGCGTTTGCGCGTACATATTGTTGCTGGTGAAGCGACGTCGTCTGGTGGGAATATCAAAGGAAAGGCAAAGGCAAATTCTTCTAAGTTCCAAGTCATTAGCTGATCTGTACAGTGGCGATCTTGCATGCAGAAGACTGAACGATTATAAGAAAGCTATGGCCATTCCAGATGCTTTGGATCAGAGCGATCTTCTTTTGAAGGGTTTGCTTGAGGTTGATGAGCAACAGCTTGACTTGAAGAAGATTCAGGTTTGCCATACATGCATTCAATATATACATAGAAAAAGGAAAATGGAAAACAATAAATTAATAATAATGGTGTGTGTGATTTTTGAGAATTTGAAATTGTGAATGGAATTAGATGGTGGTGGAGAAGCTGGAGAAGGCTGGAAAAGATGAAGGATTGAGAATACTGGAATCAGCACACGTGAAGCATGCTGACAAATCTTATTACTTTTACGAGATTGAGATGACAATTGTCGAAATGCTTATCTACAAGGTACGTACCCCTTTAATTTCCCTTATGTTAATTTCTCATAAAGAAATTGAAGTTAAGGTTAGTCAAGTTCTGACCTTAATTTATTAAAAAAAACTTGTTAAATATATTATTATACGAATGTTATTTATAAATTTTTTCTATGTTGATTTACGTAAATATTTTTTTTCTTGCAATAGTTGTGGTGATATGTCTAATAAGTTTTTTTTTATTTTATAAATTAGTGAATTTTACTTACAAACTTTTGTTTTGATAATTGCAAGTCATGAAATGAGAAATACAAATGTTTAATTTTTAGACCAATTTATTAAGGGATCTTTGGTCCTTATTTTGTATTTTTTAAAAAAATTAGTCCTTATTTAAGTTTACTTCAATCTTTTCGTCCTCATTCTCCCAAAAAAATTATATATATATATATATATATAAAGAGTTGTATTCAAAAAGAAATTCTTAATTATAATTAAATTATGTGTATAATTGACGGGTTAGCCGAAGTATAAAATCAAAGACTTACATAATATTATTTTTGAAGAAGACGGCTTACACTAGTTTTATTTATATTAGCTATGTGCATGACAAATTCTATTTAATGTTTCAATTATTACTCAAGTTTTAATTTTCCTTAGAATATTCGTTGGGTCAAGTTTTAAACTTTTAACTGGAATAAACTGATGGTTAATTTGTATCAGAAATTTCTTTTTAAAACAAAAGAGTCCTTAATTTGTATTTTGAATTTTTTACAGATATATGAGGAGAAATTTTTAATTTCCCTTGCATCTGATGCCTGCAGGAAATTAATCCAGAAGTAGCTTTGATAGCTGAATGCTTGGACTATCAAGAAATTCAATTTGATGCTCGAGTTCCATTCTTCAAGGTATTTCAACAAGCCTTCTGTTCTTTCAAAAATCTATATACAATCACTAAATTATAATTATGTATTTATGTTCACTGCTCTGCATTGGACAAATTAAAACTCAACAATAATTACCATGTCATATTGTCTAGTACTTAACAATAACACAATTTCTTATAAAGTTTTATACTCCCTCTCATCATCATAATATAGGATACTATTAACCATTTCCTGAATATAAAAAAAGTCAAGTAAAGTCTTAATTTTTGTATTTCATTTAAAAATATAAGACATTTTTAATCAAATCTTACCCTAATAAAATAGTTACTTATTTTCAAACTAATACTATCTTTTTATATTTACCCTTATTTAACAAGTTGTTTCACTCTAAAATAAATATAAAGTAATTTATTTATTAGAAGTATTTTTTTTTTAAAAAGCAATGATTACACTTGAAACACTAAAAATGCCTTACATTTTTAAACATTCAACTTCTTAAAAAATGACTTGCATTTTTAAAGCGAGAGAATATATCTTTTTGTACCCTTATTAAAAATACTATATAAATTTCATAATAATGATGACAATTGAAATTCCAATGCATTATTGCATAATTAGGATATGGTTAGAAAAACAATTACAAAAACTACCTAATACCCTCTATTTTAATTTGACTAAACAAAATTTCTAGAAGATGTAGTAATATATAACACACATACACACACATTTTATATACACACACATACGTATACATATATACATGCATGTGACATTCAGTATAAAAGAAATTTTGTTTTACATGATAACATTAGGAATAGATAGTATTATTTGTAAGTTATGACAATGTAATAGAAAAAATAAACAGTGCACCTCATATTTAAGCTATATTATTTAGTTTAGTGATTTTAAAATTTTAAGATATATTCATGGTTTTTTATAAATATATATTTATAAAAATGATTTATTATTTAATTATATTAAAATTTTATAATACTTTTGTGTATCTCCATATTTTCATAACATTGTCTCTCATCTATCATATTATATTATTTTTAAAATTTACTCAAAATAATTAAAAATATATATTTTTAAATTTTGATTATTTTTAAAAGTTTAAATAAACATCATAAAATTTTACAAAATATTTTTCTTAGAAACAAGTGATTTTTTTCATTAAAACAAAAGCTTAGACAAACAGGTCATATAGATATAAGAATAAATTTATATACTTAACTTTATATATTTAAGATACTTGTTTTCAATTAAATCAGAACATATAAATTTTATATAAATTATTTATTCTACAATAAATTCTTGTCATTAACATTATTAATACATTAAAATTCTTGCCCCATATAAAATAAACTATATTATTTACAAGTGATAAATGATATGAATTATCCTTTGGACTTCATTTGAAATATAAAAATGATATTTGATTTTTTTTTCTTTTAGACAAACTTATGTTGAATTTTGGGATTGGAAAAATCGACAGGCAATTATATGTGGGAGACTGGGAAACTGGGAAGAAGCAGCGAGGCATTGGGATGAATTCGTGGACGTGAGGGGCGACCTCGCATCGATAGTCGGGGAGGGAATTCAGGCTGCACCAATTTCTGATTTTCAAACCTTCAAAGAAAGAGTCCAAAATCTGCAAAATGAAATCAGCAAGACACAACACTGAAACAGACATTCCAAAAAATAATAACAATAAAAGATCTCATTATATTGTTTGGAAGCCTACATCACATCCATTTAAATGCGTGTCCGGTTACTTTTTCAAATAAGGATATGTGTGTGTGTGTGTATATATATATATCTCTGTGTGTGTGTGACTCTGATTTGTATTTTTAGTTCTTTACAATTTGGTTCCATTTGATGCATATGGACCTCAATGATTTCGTTTATTGCTTCACTCATTATATTTTATAGGGTGAAATACCAAATTAACCTCTGAAGTATATGTCTTGACCCTAAACTTATTCAATGTGCAATGTTTTTTTGGTGAAATTTAAACTTTATCATTAATAAAAGTTAATTTTAATTATTAATTAATCAAAAAATAACCTCAAAAATTATCAAAAAAGGATCAATAAAATTTTTCTTTACTTTATTTTTTGAGTCATTGTTCATAATTTTTTTATCCTTTTTTATAATTTTTAAGTTTTTTTGGTGATTTATTTATTAACTTACAGCTAAAATAAACTTTTATTAATGGTAGAATCTAAATTGCATTGTTTTAAAAATTTAAAAGAAAACATTGCACATTTAATAAATTTAAAGTTTTAAACGTTCATATACCTATAATTTAAAAGTTAATTTATTCTTTTACCCTGTTATATATATATATATATATATATTTACTTAATGAGATGTTATAAAGGTGTGCTTTCTTTTTTTTAGATTTTATTCCTAACTCAACCCTTTTTAAAAGAAAGAGATATATATATACACACACACACATATATATCCATGTATACATACAACCATATCAACGTTAAGTTTAAACTTAGACTTTGAAAGAGACAGATTGCCCCATTAACAAGTATTTAATATTAGGAATAAAATACAAATGTACCATCAAAATTTTTCATAGGCATAGCTCATATTCTTAAATATTTTTTGGCGCAAGGTCCATCTGATGCTTTTCTAATTTGTTACAATGTCGTAACTGATCTAGACTTTGACCCTGATCTATCGTGTGGCACCCAGGAGGCACATGTTTTATGAAGTAGGAAAAAAAAACTAATACGTATGTGGCACCCAAATCATGCCTTTCCCCAAAGAGAAAAGGTCGATGAATGTATAGACCACTAAAATTTATAAAAAAATTATGTGATGAAAAAGAATGGTTCATTAAAAAAGTTTGAGAGTTGATTGTGCGTAGAGAAGGTGTTAGGCACCCTACGACACATATTCATAAAAATGATTACCCTAAGTTAATTATGTAAATTTAATTAACATTTTAATAATATCTTAATTGCCCTTTAATCATATGCAAAAATAGAAATTAAAATAAATGAAAACAAATTAAATTTATAAAGGAGGACTTGACCTAATATCAAAGCCTAGAGCTTACCTATCTTATGATGAGGATCAAAGTTCATGTAATCTGAAGTGTTGTTATTTAGATTTTTTTTAATTTTTATTAATTTATTTTATGAAGAGAATGTTATTTTGTGTTATATAATTATATTCATTTTAAAATAAAAAATAAGGAACAACCTTGGGTAAAAGGAAAATAACTAGTATTGAAACATACAATGATTTAGCATCACTCATAGTTCAATGATTGACACTCTAAATATGCATGATAATTTAGTATTACTCATAAAAAACTCTAAAAAAATTTTTTTTAAAGTGAGTTATCTATAAAGTAATTTAATTTTGAAATTTTCATACAAAATATGACACTCGTGATAACTTAGTGTCATTCACATTATCTCATTTAAAATTTTTAGGAACCACAGTAACTTAGTATCACTCATGACGTATCCTAAAATTTGCCAACAATTTTATTATTATTATTATTTTTACTTGCGATGACATAGTATCATTCACAATATCTTGTTTGATATTTTAAAGGATCCACATTGATTTAGAATCACTCATGACATAACCTAAAATATACTAAAATATTATTATTTTATTATTTTTAATAGCACACATGAGAGGGGAATTTAACTAGTATTGAAACTTACGGTGATTTAGTATCACTTATAATCCACTGGTTGACGCTCTAAATGCACACGGTGATTTAGTATCACTCATGGCAAATTCCAAAAGGATTTTTGAAATGAAATTCCTATAAAATAATTTAATTATGAACTTTTAGTGTAAAAATTGATACATGCGATAACTTAATGCCACTCATAGTATCTTATTTGATATTTTTAAGGATTTATGGTGATTTAATATCACTTATGGACTAGCTTCAAAGTATATCAATAAATCTTATTATTTTGAAGTAATATACAAGGAGGATTTTCTTGACATTTGACAATTGCGGTGATTTAGTATCATTCACAATACATCGAATATCACAATAATTTAATATCATTCATGGATCTCTCTTTGTTTTTTTTAAAGGTTTAGAAAAATGAGTTATCATTAAAACTCTTTTCTTTTCTTTTTTAAAATAAAAGTGAATGATTATCTAGTCTAAAATAAGAATCGATGCAAAAAAATTATTGACAAACTCATTTTGTCACATAATAAATTATCATCGAATAATCACCTTGATGACCCATACACTACATGCCTAAGCAAGATCTTATGAACTAAAGCAAAAAAAGGAATAGATAATGATGTAAAAAACTTTAAATTGTTGATAATTCCATCAAGCCAAAAGCAAATAATTATTATAAGTAAAGGAGCGCACAAATAAAAAAGCAAGGCAAAAATTATGAGTGATATCGATTGAAGGAATAAAAGGAATGCATTGTGCACAGGTAGAATATGATCAAATGAAGCATGACATCACCAAGACAGTGTATTACCTAAGAAAACATATGATGATCAATTTTTAAAATTTTTGTGCTGGAGTGACAAGGAATTCCGGGTGCTTTTTCACCTCTTTCTATCGTCTTCTCTCCCAATTTCTTCTTTTTAATTTTTTTGTCCTCTCCTTTTTCTTTTGATATTTCTTTTATAAATACTAACTGGAGTTTTTTATTTAATAACAGAGTCAAGCAAAATAAGATAATTTTTTATTTTGACTTTTCTTCATAATTTCAGATTTTAAATTTATATTAAAGGTAATCAATTTGATAGCAACAAAAAAAGAGGGGATTTGAGAGTCAATAAAAAAGAAAAAAATATATCTTTTAAATTATGAAAATATTATTTTAGTTTTTAATTATTTTTTATAAAACCCTATTTTTTTAAGTTTATTTAATTTTATTGGACTCTTATTTTTAGTTTATATCTAAAAGTTAGGAGAAAATACGGTGTTGACAACGTGGGTCGACGTTATGCTTCCTCTTCAGTCTTCATCACTTTCAGTCTTCAGATCTGAATGATGAAGGAGAAGGAAGACTGAAGAGGTGAGATTGAGAAGAAGAACATGAGCAACAGTAGCAGCCAAGCTCGAGGTGAGCTTCACCATCGACCAGTCAGTTAGGCGGAGACGATGCGATAAGCAGAGGTCAAGATCGATATGAAAGAACGCTTGACTAAAAGAGAACCTAGGAAGAGAAACAGAGATTTGGTTCTAAGAAAGAAAATCTCTGTGGTGGTTGAGCTGAGGTTGGACGGAGATTTGATTCTAATGGCAATGGGTTTGAAAGGGAGAGGAAAGAGAGGGATTTCATATGGGTTTTCGAAGCTTCGACCAGTTGCATCTTTTGGGTCTTCGAAGCTTCGATCAGTTGCATCTTCTGTGTCGAGTTGTGTCCAGCTCGCTTGCTTCAAATCTTACCTTTGATCTAAAGTCTAGTCGTCCAAGTGCATTGTCTAGCTCACTTGTACCACTACCACTGCTGGCTTGGGGTTCTCATCTCCACCTATTTCCTGGTTCGTGGCTTTGGAGTTCACGCACTTTCATGCTTCAATTTTGATATGCTTGTTATTGTAGAAAAGTGAATGAAAGAGTGGCTAGAGTTAGCAATGATAGAATTCATTTATTACACATTCTTTTATGTTAATTATGATCATTTGTTTTATGTTATTAGCCCAAAGTGCACATATATTACAATAGCATTAAAAATCTATCTAAATTTCTAAATTTTGTACACTAGGAATATTTTGATTTAAAAATTAAATTTTTGAGAAAATATATGAGAAAAGTTGAAAAACATATTTTAAGTGTAGAAGAAGAAGAATCAAATTAGATTTTACAAATTCATTTCAGTTTAAAAGTAATTAAATAAAAAGTTAATACTTTTCATTAATTTTCTCAAGTGTATTTTTTTAACCTAGTTTTGGATTTGAAATCGTGTAAGAATTTTGTATAGCTTTGTGCACTCATTACTAGGATATTTCTAATAAATTCTCCCTTCTAATTATAAATTTAATTCTACACTTTAATTAAATTTTATAATGTCACATTTTATTAAATTGAATTATGTGTAGTTTTTGACATAAGTAAAATGTGCATATGTATATTCATTGGGCAAATGTGCCAAGACTTCAAGGAGGCTAAATGTGATTGTATATGTAACATTCTGCAAAATTTAACTCAAAGTTAATTGAATAATTAAGGACAAATTAAGAGTTATCTTAGATTAAAAGAAAATATACGGATAGCTAATAGGCCTATCAAACACTAATTAGGACTTAGAATTGGATCATAGGTGGTATTAGGTCACATTTGAGCCCAATTAGACAAATCATGTTTGGCACCTTAATTTTTTGTCTTTGACCACATCCAAAAGTCTTTTGGCCATAGCCAAAACTTAATTTTTAAGCCTCCAAATCTACATTTTAACTCAAAAAATTAGAGAGTTAAGTGAAAGTTTGAAGGTGAGTGAGGAGAGCTCTACTAGGATTTGTTATGGGCATCCAATTGAGTCTATTTAAAGCTTCTAATTACTCGAGTAAGCACCTACATCCTCTTCTCTCCCTCTCTTGTGCACTTTCATCACTGTTTTTGGTAGTTCTTTAGAAATCCAAAAATGAATTGTGATTTTGTATAGAATTTTGACTTTAAAGGGATGAATGTGTGTTTATTTAAACATATAGCCTTTGGGTTATAATATTATTAATGTTTTAGGATTTAAAAATGAGGTTTGGTGTAAACCCTAGAGCTAATTAGTTAAGCTAAGGAGGTTATGAGTTCTTAAAGGTGTTGATTAGACTAATGAGAGTCTAAGTAAACTAATGGAACCTAAAAATAGATTTGGTTGTGAGTAAATGATCACAATGAGATTTTTAGGTTTAGGCTTTGATTAGAATTAATTAAAGATAATTATTCATTGATGACTATTGATGTGTTTGATTGATCATTGTTGGTGCTATTGAACTTATTGGAG